GCATCCACATTGAACACTGAAAACACGGAGGCAGAAATTAAAAGTGGTCAGAAAGGGTCTGAATCTAACCTGGTTTGACTCCAAAATTTGCTTGGTTTTCATTCATCATGCTCATTCCTGAGAAAGGGATTAGACAAACTCACTTGCTGGGTTATCTGGAGAAGACTGAGATGGGGTTCAGGAGCCTGAGTGCAGGTGCATTTTTTTTTTTCCTTTCACTTGTTTTTTTCTGATGAGAGAAAGCAACAAGAGGTGTTGTGCCCATGATGACCTGTTCTGACCCTAGGAGAACTTTCCTCACTGCTTTGTAAAAGTTCAGCCATGCATGGGCAAGCATGCACACAGTCACGATGAGTTTTACTATTTCATAATATTTCATAATACTGATGAAGGCACAATAAAGTCACAGTTAGTCATAAAGAAAAACTGACAGGTCTCCAAGACTACAGAATTTCTAGAAGCAAGACCTTCAGGAAAAGGATATAAAATCCACTTGCGACCGAAAACTGTATTTTTCTTCTTTTTTCTTTCTCACCTCCCTCCTCCCCAACACCCAGCTTAATTAAAAGGTATAAAGTGAAGAGAGAACAATAAACAATTATCATGGTAATTTAATAGTAGATAAAAGATAAATGTTTCAACAGCTTTCTCTGCCAAAATTCAGGCTACAGAATATAGGTGTTCAGAAAGTACAATGTACAACTGTTTTAAATCGTATTAATTTGTGTTTCGTCGAAGTGAGATCTTAATTTTATGTTCAACTGCACTACTCATAGGTTACTACCTGCTATGGTTTGAATGTATGTATCTGCCAAAATTAGCATGATGGAACCTATGACCCAATTCCATAGTGCTAAGAGATGGGGCCCTCCGGTGATTAAGTCATAAGGCTCGAATTAGTACCCTTATAAAAGGGCACCAGGGTGCTCGCTAGACCCCTTTTTTGCCCATCTTTTCTGCACATGAGGACACATCACGGAGCCCTGTTGTCATTTTTGCCCCTTTTACTATGTGAGGCCACAGTAAGAAGGCCCTCCTCACCAGACACTGCAGGCCAGCATCTTGATCGGACTCAAGAAAAAAAAGTTATTTTATTTTCTTGTTATTAGCAGCATAAACGTTCTAAGACAACACCTGAAAAATGTGTGCACAATGTATAAAATCTCTAGGATGCACTCAGGTGAACGAGGCCACACTGCTCCTATATTCTAGGAATCACAGTCACATGAGCCAGCCACCCTTACCCATTTTTTTATCTTACAAACCAAAATGCAGTCACTTTCTGACCCTCTACATTTTGCTTCCCACTTAATCATTTTATTCACTGGGCTGTCATAAAGAGTTTGAGTTCTTCTAGTTCAGAATTAAGCCAGTATTATGCTAACAATTAAGCAAACCTAAGCAACTTTTTTTTTTCCTTTAAGAGTATGGCCTGGAAGAAAGGAAACCTTGGTGAGATAGCAATAAAAATGCAGTGAAAAGAGAGCAAGAAGCTGAAGTACACACTTATACAGGGAGTGGCTGGCTCATTGGCACGCTTCATGCCTGGTCTTGCTCCTTCTTTGAAGGGTAGACTTGGGCTGATGGCTAGTTTAATAGTGCTGGGTTCCATTTGAACTCAATTTACTACAATGAGCTGCTGGCCAAGCTGGGCAGGTTAGCTTGGTTGGCTAGAGCAGGAGCTTGAAGGTCAAAGCACCAGCCCTGTCTGAGTTCACCCACAACAGAATTCTGTAGTGTGATCACAGACAAGTACAATGACAAATGGGTGGGAGGTGTGAGCCGGATGACTATGAATATGACTCAGTACAATATTTAATGAGCAGTCACTGTTCCAGGCATTAATATTACAAAGATAACCATACTGAGGTTAAAGTCTTCAAAAGCAGATAGACATAGAAATACATAATTAAAATGTAATCTAGTAAATACCATGATAGAGATCTCCATAGGAGGACAGAGACAGGTAAGGGAGGCTTCCTGGAATAGGGGACATCTGGGCTGACCCTAAAGAGTGAATAGGCATGTGGGTGGGGGGAACCCCTTGCCAAGGAGAGGGCATCATAAACAAAAGCAGAACTTATGCCATCAGTCATAGGGAAAAAGAAGAGGATACACATCAGCTTTTTATCCACTCAACTAGAAAACCTATTAACTTCTTTGTAAATGAAAAATTGCATCTTTACTCACTTAAAAATGCTTTTTGTTAAAATAAGAATTTTTTCTCATTTGTTGCAAGGGAGAAACTATACATTTTGTTTATTGCTTTGTAATTTTAGAAGATGAATATGAAACTTTAATAAAAATTAAGATCTAAGAATTATGACAATGAGCAGAGGATAGAAGTCCAAGGACACAACACTCTCAAATGCCAGAGAGCCCAGTATTAGTATAAAATTATTTTAAAATAAACTTTTTAAAGTCTTCACACAAAAAAGCTTCCCCTACCTTCCTCTCTCCCCAGTCTCTTGGTAATCTTTATCCTACTCCCTACTTATGAGTTCAGCTTTTTTACTGCACATAACGGCGAGATCATGAGGCACCTCTGTGCCTGGCGTATTTCACTTAATATAATGTCCTCCAGGTTCATCCATGTTGTCCCAAATGACAGTATTTTTTCTTTTTTTGGAGACAGAGTCTCACTCTGTCATTAGGCAGGAGTGCGGTGACACGATTTCAGCCCACTGCAATTTCCGCACCCTAGGTTCAAGCGATTCTCCTGCCTTAGCCTCCCGAGATCTGGGACTACAGGCACACACCACCACACCTAGCTAATTTTTGTATTTTTAGTTGAGACAGGGTTTTACCATGCTGGCCAGGACGGTCTTGATTTCTTGACCTCATGATCTACCTGCCTAGGCCTCCCAAAGTGCTGGGATTACAGGCATGAGCCACCGCACCCAGCAGAATTTTCTTATTTTTTAAGCTGAATACTAATCCATTGGTGTGTGTGTGTGTGTGTGTGTGTACATATATATATATGTATATGTACACACACACACATGACATTTTCTTTACCCATTCATCTGTTGATGAACACAGGTTGATTCTGTATCTTGGCTGTTGTGAATAGTGCTGTAATAAACATGGGAGTTTACAGAGATCTCTTCAACACATGCTGATTTCATTTCTGGCAGACCTATACCCACTAGCATAACATAAGCTTAAAGTCTTATTTTAAAGATAATTTTGCTTTTGAATTAAGAAGCAGTATATTTTAATATTTTATCATTTTCTCCTAATATCACCATCAAAATCACTTATATGCAACCCCATTTATCTATGGTGCTGTGTTTATATTGCAAAAAAATAAGTTCAGAAAATAGTAACATAGAGCAGAAAATGCTCATGAAATCAAATAATTAGAGCTACAGTTCACTAATTCTCTCATAAAATTAATGGTGTTTTAGTAACTGTTTCCTTAGTATGTCTAATGATTTTATCTTTTTATTGATTTTGCCATTAAATTTTTATTCTTCCTTCCCCTGTTTTGATCATGCATACCTTTGCAAATCTAGGAACTCTGCTATTAGCCCCTTAAGTTGAAGATCAGGACATGAAACTTCAGAGTTTCACGGTCCCCAGAGATGGTCAAGAACCTCTCTCCCCTGGTACCTGATGACAAAAGATGCTTTGAGTAGTTACAAATTCCAAACTACAGGTTGGGGTGTGGTGGCTCCAACCTGTAATCCCAGCACTTTGGAAGGCTAAGGTGGGAGGATTTCTTGAACCCAGGGGTTTTAGATCAGCATGGATAACATAGGGAGACCCGTTCTCTACAAAAAAATAAAATAAAATTAGCTAGGCATGGTGGTGCAAGCCTATTGTCTCAGTTACTTGGGAGGCTGGGGTGGGAAGATCACTTGAGCCTGGTAAAGGTAGAGGCTGCAAGTGAGCTGTGATCATGCCATTGCACGCCAGCCTGAGTGACAGAGCAAGACCCTGTCTCAAAACAAGAACAACAATAAACTAATTTCAAACTACAAAATAAATCTTCCCAATTTCCTGCCATGAATTTTTGGATCAAACATAAACTTTAAAAAAGTGATACTGATGGCTGGGCATGGTGGCTCACACCTGTAATCCCAGCACTTTGGGAGGATGAAGCAGGTGGATGACTTGAGGTCAGAAGTTTGAGACCAGCCTGGCCAACATGGTGAAAGCCCATCACTACTAAAAATACAAAAAATCAGCCCGACGTGGTGGTGCGTGCCTGTAATCCCAGCATGCCGTAGCAGAGGCTGAGACAGGAGAATCACTTGAACCTGGGAGGCAGAGGTTGCAGTGAGCTGTGATCGCCCCACTGCACTCCCGCCTGGGTGACAGAGTAAGACTGTCTCAAAAAAAAGTGATACTTAAAATAGTTCTTATAAAACAAAGTTTCAAAGCCCTTCTGTCTAAAATAGTGGTCCTTATTTGAGGGTTTGTATGAAAATCACCTGTGGGCTTTTAACACTGCAGTCTAAGACCCAGACCAGCTGAGCTGCAATCTTGAGGCACTACTCTCCGCTGTGTATTTCTAAATGGCTCGCTAAAGCCATTTAGAAGCCATGATGTACATCCCTGGTTTAGAAGCACTGACTCACAGAATTTCAACTAGAATCATCTCCCACATGCTAAAGTGATTTTTCACATTCTTCACTGCTTGGCAAAACACCAAGGTTCTCAGTTTCCTGAACTAATGGTTTAAGAGATGCTGATGGGCTTCAGGCTTCCCCTAGACCAGCTGCCTTCAAACTGGGATATGTGTGCTCCTAAGGGTACTGAAAGGCTTTCCATAAAAAGGATTTTAACAGTTTTTGTGCTTTGGACTCCTCAGCAACCTGGTAAAGTCAGGCTGAATCCCTTCCCAGGATAATATTTTTAAATGCATAAATCAAAACAGCATTAGCAAGAAAATATTACCATACTCAGGATAACTATGGTTTAAATATGGTTATACTTATATATGGTTAAAATTTAATCCATTTTTAATACATTAATATGTATACTCGGTCCCTCGTTCGGCCCGGTCCTCGGCATGGCGGCAATTCTTTGCAGGCAGTGCCTCCCTCGGGGGTGGCTCTGCAGGTGCAACTCCGACTCCTCCCTGAGCCCCGTGAGCAGTCCCGGGGTGCCCTGGCGGTGCTGCCCCAGTGACCCGGCCCTCGTTCTGTGTTGCAGGAGAACCAGGCAGGGCTGCGGCCGGCACTACCGCGCCGCGATTTGCGCAGAGTTGAAGAAGCCCCTGACCATTGAAGAAGTGGCCCCCCGCCCCGTCGGGCCTCACGAGGTCAGAGTTGATGTCCATTTCTGTGGCATTAACTTTGCTGATATTTTGGTCTGCCGTGGTCAATATCAGGAAAAGCCCCATCTTCCCTTCACACCGGGATTGGAGTTTTCTGGGACAGTATTGGAGACAGGCACACATGTCAGCACAGTTAAAGAGGGAGATAGAGTTATGGGCATGAGAAACTTTAATTGTATGGCTGAAGAATGCATCGCTGATCAGAAGGACCTGTGGCAGATCCCAGAAAAGGTCTCCCTACAGGAAGCTGCTGTCCTCCCTATATCCTATGGTACTGCGATTTTTGCTCTTGAGCATCGGGCCCATACACAGCCTGGAGAAGTTGTTTTAGTGACAGCAGCAGCTGGAGCCACAGGCCTTGCAGTGATAGATGTGGCAACAAATGTTCTTCGGGCCAAGGTCAATGATGCCTTCCTTCACGTGATACAGGGGAAATCCATGGGCAAGGTGCTTCTCGCTCTTAAATAAATCCTCACCTCAGCAGCAAAGTTAACATGTCCAGATCAAAACTCAACATCTTTCCCGGAAACCTGATTTCCCTTCTGTGTTTCCAAAGGTGTTACCACTTTTCTTACTAATCCAAGTTTAGAATCTTGGAGTTACCTTTGATTCTGTTTACTAATTGCTCCTAATTAATGTGGTTATATAATTTATTGTCCAAACTTGGACCTTTTTGCGAGTGAAAGGATGCCATTAGTCATTACATCAGGAAAACATACCCCAGGCAGACCAGAAGGTATGGTCAGCCTACTTGATGTTTTATGAAATGTATTATGAAATCACTATTGCCAAGTTCTGTCATTTCCACCTCTGGGATATCTCTCACATTCATATCTTCTTTTCCATTCTATTTATGCTTCATCTGCTGTCACCAGTGACCTTCTAACTGCTTTTCCTACCTTTAAACTACTCTCACCACCTCCATCCTTGTGATGCATTATTGCCATGGTGATCTTCCTGAAGCTTAACTCTGACTATGTCCCATTTCAGAAAACCCACAGTGGCTCACCGTTGCTTGATGGTGGAGTTCAGACTCTTTGAGCTAGCATTTCATTATGACCATGACTTTTCCCTGCACCACTTTGCAGCCTTATGGCCCACAGTTCCACTGGGCCCGAAGTATGTACTGAACTTTCCTGCCTCTCTTATTTTGCTCTGCTTGTGCAATTTTTTCTGCCCTCCATTTCTGTCAAATATAAACCTTCCTGACCTCTAACACCTACGCCTGTCATGTGCCTTTACCATCAGGCAAGGGTCAATCTCTTCTCTTCCTCTTCTACCTTCCTGTAGCTTCTCCCCAGGAGTTGTCACATTCTGCCTTGAATCATAAGGAACAACATGTGTAGTGGAATGAACACAGGCCTCCGAGTCCAAGATGTAAGTTTAAATCCCAGCTTTGGAGGTGATTACTTAAAGTCTCAGTGCCTTCATTTTTCTTCCTATATAAAGTGGATATTACAATATTTACCTCGCAGAGTCATTGGGAGCTATACATGCAGTGATTGGGTAAAGCACCTGGCACATGGCAAGCAATTAGCAAATTCTGGTTACTTCTATTGCTTTCTCTTCTCTTTTCCCAGCATATCGTAAGTTCCTTGAGGGTAGGCACCATGTATGATTTACCCTTGTACTTCCCACAGTAGTTTCCATAGTGAGTTACCCTTAGTAAATGCTCAGTAAGTTGAATTGAACTTAAATTACCTGTAAGTCTGGAATTGTGGGATTAAATTAAGAATATGTTGCTCTAGAAACACCCAAATGTCTATCGATGGATGAATGGATAAACAAAATGTGGTATACACATAATTAAATATTATTCAGCCTTAAAAAGGAATGAAATTCTGATATGTGCTACAGTATGATGAAGCTTGAAGACATTATATGTGAAATAAGCCAGACAAAAAAGGACATACTATGTGATTCCACTTATATGAAGTGCCTAGGGTAGTGAAATTCATAGAAACAGAAAGTACAGGTTGACATCCCAAATCTGAAATGGGAAACGCTCCAAAATCTGAAACTTTTTGAATGCCGACATGATGCTCCAAGAAGATGCTCATTGGAACCTTTCAGATTTTAGATTTTTGGATTTGGGTTGCTCAGCTGGCATAAAGCGAATATTCCAAACTCTGAAAAAATAAGTCCAAAACACTTCTGATCTCAAGAATTTTGGATAGGGCCAGGCATGGTGGCTCACGCCTTTAATCCCAGCACTTGAGGAGGCTGAGGCAGGCAGATTATCTGAGGTCAAGAGTTTGAGGCCAGCCTGGCCAACATCGTGAAACCCTGTCTCTACTAAAAAAAAATACAAAAAATTAGCTGGGCATGGTGGCATGCACCTGTAATCCCAGCTATTCAGGAGGCTGAGGCAGGAGAATCACTTGAACCCAGGAGGCAGAGGTTACAGTGAGCTAAGATTGTGCCACTGCACCCCAACCTAGGCAATAAGGGTGAAACTCTGTCTCATTTAAAAAAAAGAATTTTAGATAAGGGATACTTAATGTGCAACATATGGAATAGCAGTTGGAAGCTGGGGAGGAGAGAATGGAGAGTTATTGTTTAATGATACAATGTTTCTATTTAGGAAGATGGAAAGTTTTGGAGCTGTGGTGATTATGATTGTGCAACAATGGGAAGGTACTTAACACTGCTTAGCTGTACACTTAAAAATGGTAAAAATGATAAATTTTATGTATGTCTTATAGCAATAAAAAATGTTAAAAAAATATGTATACTCTAGAAATATATGTGTTCTTTTATTAACCCAGTAAATAGTAAAATCTAGGGGCATGTCTAATAACTGTCATGATTTCAAAGTAGTGATTGGTTCAAACCACCTCTTGAGATATCTGAAACAACTGTAATGTGATAAGAAAACATCTCACTTTCGTTGATGCTCACACTACTTTAGGTTTGTTGTTTACATTTGTAATTAAAGGAAATGCTCAATTTCTAGGTGAAGTTAGTGGGAAAAAAAGATGAAATTATTTTCCTCATCCAAATTCACAAACATTTGGAGTTAAAAACCTTACTTTAAGGGAATATGTGTACGTGGGGGGTTATAAAGCAATCAGTTTCCAGATTCTTTCCTAAAACCTTTATACCTTGTTTCTCACATACATCCCCTTCTATCTTTTTTTTTTTTTTTTTTTTTTTGAGATGGAGTCTTGCTCTGTCACCCTGGCTGGAGTGCAGTGGTGCAATGTTGGCTCACTGCAACCTCCTCCACCTCCTGGATTCAAGCGATTTTCTGCCTCAGCCTCCCTAGTAGCTGGGACTATAAGCGCATGCCACCAGACCCAGCTAATTTTTGTATTTTTAGTAGAGGGGGATTTCACCATGTTGGCAAGGCTGATTTTGAACTCCTCAGCTCACATGATGTGCCTGCCTTGGCCTCCCAAAGTGCTTAGATTACAGGCATGAGCCACTGTGCCCAGCCCCCTTTTACTTTCATAAGGCAAACCTGTTACGCATCCTGAATATTACGTGGTTTATTGTTCGGGGTGCTAAAACCTCTGAAGTGTCACTGAAGAAACGAGAAAATGCCCTCCTCCTGTAGAAGTGCCCTTAAGAGCAGAACAAGAAATACTGTGGGAGCAGGGCCTTGTTTCATGCAGGTGAAAAGGTTTCTGTCTCCTTTGTATTAATGCATCATTGTCAAAAGGCACAAATTAATACAGGTAGTCTGCGACTTACAATGGTTTGATTTATAGTATTATGACTTTATTCCATGTTATATCATGTCAAAATTTCCTCACTTTTTAAGTCCACTGTATGTTTTACAAATTTATTTTCTAAGGTATGTGAAAACAAAAATGTTTGAAGCCTAATCAACATTTCTCAAAGCCTATAAGAAATCAGCTTCAGAGCCATGGAGGTTCATGAGCCTCCTTCGTCAGAAACACTGTGGGTATTTATTTAAAACGCAGATTCCTATGCCCCAACTCAGATGTATGAAATTTGAATCTGTAGGATTGGGTCTGGGAATTGGCACTTTGAAACAAGAATCATACTTGAATCTGATGTATACCAAAGTTGAGAACCACTGTGCTATGCTACTGTACTGCTTTGCTGTTAAATCTTCCAGACACTTGTTTCAGCCATTTTCCGGACCCATATTTATCCTTTCAATCTATAGATAGGCATTTGTTACAAACTAAATGATATGAACTCAACACAAGACATCGATGCTTATTCAGAATTTGATGGGAATTGACCAGAGACAATGCCAATAGAAATCATCTCTTGGTGCATCACTTAGTAATTTTCAGTGGTATAGAATAGTGATGTTTTCCTTAACCTGTTCCTTATGATTTGATATCAATTTTGGATAAGCTGTAAACAAGCCCACAATAGAACAGGGAGGCAAATATTCTCTTTTAAAAAAATATGGCCCTACCATGTGAACTAATAATTAAACAATGGCCCTGCTATCTAATTATCATCATAAAGAAATGTTAGAGCTCCAAGCATTTGGTATTCCATGGATGCTTTAAGATTTTAAAAAATTTTCTAGGCTAAAATTACATCAATCATGCTACTTGAAGCTTCAGTTTGGGGACTTCCATGCATAAAACTTCAACAAATGTCTCAGTTTAAAATTATTCTTAAAGAGGTTTGACCCTGCTACTCTCTACTTTTTAGAGGTAAGATGTGCAGACTATCTGCTCAAGCCTACACCTTTGCTACATCTCTCCATTTTCATATAATGAAATGAGTTCAACTGTTGGTTAAAGCATGTGATTCTACTAGTAACTGACAATGAAGGAGTTAAGGACCATCCATCCCATACTATGCCAATTTGGCATATGTATTATTTCAAGCTGAAATTACTTGAGAAACTAATTGCAGAAAGGCCTTTCTGACCTGTCCTTTCTTAAGGTGGCAAGCCATACAAATTCCTTTGAGGATGCCTTCCCTCCACTAGAGACAGAAAATAATTGGAAACTGCTGCTGCAATGAACCTGTACAAATAAACTTACTGAAGAAACGTTATCTTACACTAGCTTTACACCCCCCAATAGATCTCCTAGTGACCTCTAGAATTTACTGCCCCAGCCCAGATCCCTTTGTCCTGCCATTTCTTCACAAATTTATTATTCCTTGTCCAAAAAGTACAAAAGCTATCTGCTTTGGCCGTTTCTTTGAATCCTTACTCTCTCGTACTCCCTATGTACGTGTAAAAATTTATAAAATCTCTATCCTTTTCTCCTGTTCATCTGTCTTATGTTAATTTGATTCCTAGAACCAGCCAAAAATCCCACTTAAGAACTAAGATGGGTAGAGGTGACTTTTAGCCTCTCACAACCACCTATTAATTTTCCATGGACTTGCCAAGGAGTGAGATTTTGAACTTGTCACTCAGTGGACAGCAGAAGCTCAGTTTCAAGAAGCCATATTCATGAAGGACATACAGAAGGCACATTCATCGATATTTTCCAAAATCTATCCCAAACTAAGAGTTGTGTAATGAATAAGATTGTCTCTGTAAAAAGATATAACAAAAACTGAGTTTCTTCTATACTTTCACAACCCAATCAACACAAAGCACTTACTGTGACCTCTAGTCGCCAAAATGTGTGGGGATTTTTTCCTACCAGCAATGAATTCTGCAGCAGACACCAGCTGGATATCCTCTAAATCAATTCAATTCTGATACTACCTGTTGTGAATTGGGGTTCTCACAATCCCTCCTCACGGTTCAGTTAATTTGCTAGTGCAGCTCACAGAACTCAGGGAAACACACTTACTGATTCATTATAAAGCATATTACAAAGGATACTGATGCACACCAGATCATCAGAGGTGGAGAGGGCACAGCATGGGAGAAGGGGCACACCACCATCCAGGAATTTCCACAGGTTCAACCTTCTGGAAGCTCCCCAACCCAGTCCTTTTGGGCTTTTATGGAAGCCTCATGGTGATAACCTTCATCCCTTCTCTCCTCCCCAGAAGTTGGGGAGGTGGGGATGGGGTTGAAAATCCTGCCTTAGTCTTTCCTGTGACCAGCTCCAACCTGAGGCTACTCAGGGGCTGACGGCCACCAGGAATCTCATTCGCATACAAAAACACACATCGCTTTCGAGATTCCAAGGATTTCAGGTGTTTGCATGCCAGAAAAAAAAATGGGAACAAAGAACAAATACATATTTCACAATATCACAATCTGCTTTTAAGGCTAATCAACAACGTTAGCATATCAGACACCCATATTTGAAAAAGTCAGTGTTGTAACATTAAATGCTCAGTCTGCTTTCAATGTTTTATTAATAATTTCTACACAGAATAACAGTCAAGCATAATTTTTTTAAATTTAATCATTTATACCATAATGACCAAATTATTTTAAACAAAAACATCTCCCCCACAAACATTTCTGGGTATAAAATTTGTCTCCCCTGACATCCTAAGTCCATGGGTAAGTTACACAACTTCACCAGCAGCCACTGGAATGTATTCTATTTCTATATGCAATGAGACTATCCTTTTCAATCCGTATCATGGTATTAACAATACCAACCTCTACTGAGGTTTAATCTAAGAACATGAAACTCATCCCCCCAAAACTTGTTGTGTCTCTTGCCTAGATATTGCTGAGGTTACATCTGAACAATACATAGAAATTACTTTACAGTGATAGTATTGAGAATAACTGTATTTCTTCTAAGTAACCGATTCCTTTTCTCTTGTGTTGAACATCTGGCAAAGCTTCCCATTTGTAACTGCAGTTTGAAAGCTTAGGGGCAGATTGCGATCCACTCAAAGGACTTGCCTTTGGAAGCGCATTATTTCCCGTTCCATTTTATCTTCGAACTTTTGGTTCATCTTTTTTCTTTCTCAAACATTTCTAATTTATGATATTGCATTATCCTTTAGCTGTTCTTGTAAACAATTTTAGAGCAATGAAGAGTATCATGAATTTTTAAAAAAAAACAGGAAAAAAGTTTTAATATTATTTGAATTAAGATTTACACTTTATGGTAACACATGTTAAACTGTAATACTTAAGGAAAAATCTAAAGTCTCAATGATTGTCTGAATAAGTGGGTGTTTTTTCCAAAATAATGTCAAGTACTTGGTAAAGTTAAGGAAAAAACCTCTTGTATCAATATCAGTTTATCCTGAAAGTTATCACCTAAAACTTTTCTTAAGCAATGACTTTCATGACACTGTGCTGCTAAAATACCATAATATTAAAATGCCAACTTTTCCCAAAAAGCAAGCATGCTCAAGCAGTTAGAAATAAGAAGCTGTTTAAAGACTCTGAAGGAGTAAGCCCGTCCTGGGAATCAGGCAACAATGCTCTGGTGTCTGTGCAGGAAAAACATTACATATGAACCTAACTTGCAATAAGGTCCTTTTAGCAACATGATTATTTAAAAAAAAACAACCCTTCTATCATGAGTCTTGCCTTTTAAAAGGCTATGGTTAATGACTATGAATTCTCACAAAGGGCTCCCATTCTACAAAATGGCATTATAGCAATGCCTGAGAGATACAAGATCCAGAATGAAAAAGAAGAGAAAGTAATAAAGCAATCCTTTCTATCAGTTGCCGAGAAAGCGGGCGGGTGGGGGGGGGGGGACTATTAATATTTTATTCTTTGAAAAGCCTTGTACTGTTAGAATGACTAGAAGAATCCTTCCCCCATCCATCAATGCATCTGTTCCCCACTTAAAGCATGCATGCTTAC